ATGCAAATAGCAAGACCAGGTCTTAGACCGAATGGGGCAGGCAAAGTAGAAAAGTTCCCGGCCAGGCTGCAGAGCTGCTACTCTGTTTTGTCTTCCCACTTTTTTCCCTGTCATCAGGAGAAAGCCCGGTTGCCCCCCTAAGGCAGCCTCTAGAAGTAGCTGCATGGGGGGGGGACTTTAAAGGGGCAATGAGCATGCCCCTCTTTGATTCCTTCTTAAAATGGCAATGCAGGGATGTGAACAGTTTTTCAGAAGCTATGAGGAATACACATTAGACCCATCAGTCAAAGTGTAACAAATGAAGTAAAATCGAGAATGAAAGTTGTGTTAGATATTTAATGGAAACAGAGCTGCAGCATTAATCCCATCAGCATTATTATTGTGTTCTGTTATTATGAATTTATCCAAATGTGCTATCACCAAATTACATTTTAAATTACTTTAATTTAAATGTCTTTATTTAAAACTTTGCTTTGAATTTAGATAATACAGCATTAGAAATCTATCTGATAAACTCAATGATAAAAGTCATTACTGTATTTACTATTTCAGTAACAAATAGTCCTTGATGTGGCATTTCAACCATCTAATGGCTTTTTTCCTCCCCTGACCAAAAAAGCAAGATTTTTTAAAACTTTTTTTTATTTGGCAATAATATTTGCTTCTAAAATGCTCATAAAAGGAGGTAATGCAATTTAATGCTTGGTAATCCAACTTCAGAAAATGATGCTAGCTTTTTTGTTGGCACGACTGCAATTAACTGTCTAATCAGCCTGAAATCTCCCAAGAAAACATATTTCTCCTGAGGGTTCCATTGCAAGCAGTATACTAATATATATGAATGGGCTTTCCCCCCTAGAAAACTGCTGGACTAAAACAAAGCAAAACAAACCTTTCTGTGTTTTCTTTCTGTTATATTATTTAATTATTAAAGTGGCTGCTTAAATGTGGTACATATTTTAAGGAAATATCTATTTGAAAAACTCCCTAATAATTATAATCTCAAAGACAGGAAGCAGTTAATTGTATGGCATTTTCTTTCTTAAAGGAAAGTAAATTGCATGTGATATTGTTGAAGGCTGCAGTTCTTAGAACTTGTTAAATTCTTTCCTGCTTTTTTATGTATAAGTGCTTCCTATTGTGCATGTAACTGCTAAAAATGTCTGAATAGGGTCAAGAAAAATCTGTTTAAAGCAGCAGAATGTACCTGAAGCAAAAATCCCACTTCATTTCTGAAGTGATGCAGGATCAGGGTTTGTCTGATAACGTGGGAGATCTCAGAGGTAGGAGGCTGGATGGCCTGCTTGAAAACCCTGGACAGTAGTTGCCAACCAGACTTGACACTGCCAGGCTAAATAGATCACTGATGGGACCAGATTTGTATGTTCCTTCACATCTCCTTTTTGACTGAAAAGTAGAGGGTAAACATTGAAGGCACACAGGACCGCCTTGCACATCTAGTTTGCTTCTAGCTTATTGACATCTGGGTAAAATTCAAGAGAAAATTCACCAGTAATGTGATCTGGCTTGTAATGGAATCTTACAGAAGAGTTTACTATTAAGAAGCCAAAGAAGCTCCATGATTCAGTGAAACACCTCTGGAGGCCAGCACAGGCCAGAGTCAAATCATAACTAGCACTGACAATTCACAGTACCTACCAGCCTAAGACTTCCATATATGTTTGTTGTGTACTATCAAGTTGCACCAAAGTTATGGTGGCTCTGACAGATTTTAACAATATGTAAGATATTTAAGGTATGGTTTTACCATGGTCAGACTCCACTGAGTTTCCATGCCTGATTAGGGATTTTAAATCAGGTGTCCTGAATTCTAGTCTCTAACCACTATACGACACCAGCTTTCATAATAACAATTGTGTGCTGACAAGTTGAATCTTACTTAATGCTGACTTTTCCCTGGGTTTTCTGGATACAAAATATTCAGTAGTTGTTTACTAGTGCCTTCTTCTTGGGGTTCTCAAGGAGACATAGTGGAGAATCAAATCTCTTATTCAAGTCACTGTGCTATCCAGCCACTTAACAGGTAAACTGTGCCTAGTATTCTTTGGGAAAGAATTATAACCTTCCAAAGAAAGTGAAGAAATATCACCTGTAAGACTTGTGAATATTGTGTGATAAAAACAATATTCTCAGATCTTATGGGTTATATTTATCAATTGATTGTTATTTGGTTTCATATTGCATGAAGAACAAAAAATATTTCAGTTCTAATTCAAGAACATTATGTTAAAAAGCAAGCAAGCCTATCTACTCAACTGTATGGCATAGCTTATATCCATGGCCTTAATTTGCAAAGCTGTGACTCTTTTCTCTTTCCTAATGGCTTGATTTAATGGGAAAGCTTCTTTTCCCTGCATGGAGTCAGCCTGTAGAATTTGCGGCTGCTGGAGGTCACTGTAGCAGGATTATTGAGATGGCTAGATAATTTTATGAGCAATGATATAGTTATTCATGCTGAGTTGCAAGTAATTAAATTGCATGCTTCACGAATCAAAAACAGCAGTTCCTTATTATATATTTTGCTGAAGACTTAAGAACTGCAGGACCAAATGTTCTGACCACAACACTAAGATTTATTAGTTGCACCAGAAGAAGAGCCAGAGGTCAGATACCGGTCTAGCTGAGATATCTTATTCCAATTTTCCAAACGGTAATTTTGCCGCTTGAGGAGGGGGCTAGGAGCTAATGTAATCTCTTTCTCTTCCTCTCTCATGCTTGTGTATAGATTCCCATCTTCATTTCCCAGTTACGTAGTTATAATTGTAATTTACTGTGGTATTTTCTATGAAGTAACAGAGATCATCTCCAAAACCCACTTAGAATATGCTTTTAAGCTGCCTTTTAAGTGATGGTTTTGAAGTTAACCAGTCTCTGTTCCAAACTGGAAAGCTGCCAACAAATGAAAGATTGTTCCTCTACAACAAATTGTTGAGCTGTTCGAGTATACTATAGAATTTTAAATGTTGATTGAAATCAGGCCCCCACCCTCAACATTCTTCATTTAGAGAGGCGCATCTCCAAATTTACCTGTCTCCCAAGGAATCCCTGTGTGTCTCATATTACAAGCAACCTAAGGGTAATAAAACCCACAGTTCATGTCAAACCATGTCAAATCATTGTTTCTGCAACAACTGGATATGCACCAACACCTCCCTGTGGCCAAAAAAAGGGGGAGGAGGAAAATATTAGTAGCAATAGGCAGCCTATCTTTTAACAAAATTTGTCTGCTTATACTGACCTTCTCTTTGAACACCCTCTGACAAGCTGCAGAAAAACTCCAGGGTTCCCTGAAACACAGTGGGAAAACTACCATTCTGAAGCATCAAAAGCTGGCATAAAAGGGGTTGGCAAGCTGTATTTCAGCCGTCTAAAATTATATATATTTTAAAAAATACATGGCTAGTTAGTACCTTTGCAAGTAGTCTGAAGCTCAAACAGGTTTGCAGCTCTAATTGGTGAGCCTCACATGAAAGATAGTATGCAGAAATGATTTTTCTGTTCTCATTAATTCAGGAAAGGGGTCAATAAGGTTCAAGTAACCTGTCAAAGGTATTAAAATTCAGAAGTTCTTGCGTTTTATTTTCTGGCACAGAAATAAACAGAAATGAAGAAGCATGGCATATATAACAAACATGGCATGGATTTTATAACCATAATTTTTAACTTCAATTTTGTTTTTGAGTTTAATTTAATTATTTTATTTTATTTTAACTGTTTTAATGCTCTTTGATTGCTTCTAAGAT